AATTTTTAGACTGCTTATTGTAAGTGCAGAATATTTATATGCTTGAAAATTTTTTTTCTTGCGACACTGGCCCGCTGTTGTATAATATACCCGGGTCTTTTGTAAGTTTTTTTGTTGGGTATTTTGTATTAGACACCGTGTCTTTTGGTCGGTACTATCGAAACTATACAACTCTCTACCTCTAAAAAATTTTATTTGAATAATATATATATGCGTGAATAAAGTTTGGAACTGGTTTTATTTTTCATATGTTAAAACCGATTAAAACCGGTTTTAACATATGAAAAATAAACCGGCTCCAAACTCTTTGCGTGAACTTTTCTGTGTTTCTGGTAGTAAATCTGTTCACATGAACATGAGCGATTTATATTCCAAATTTAGCCAGTCGCAGGTAATTATTTCTAACTTGAATTGACTCTATAATTAAATATATATATATATATATATAGAAATCATGCTATATACGTTTTAATTCTAAGTAAAAGTAAGTTTAAAAGGTCATTTTTCTTGAAGATACGCTTCCGAATCCACCCTTATACATTATCCAACCGATCGCTCAATGACAAACCGACCCTTAAACATCTCAACACCTATATTTCTTTTTCCAGCTTAGTATAATAATTAATTGAATAATCGAATTATTAAACTAATAACGACTTAATAATGTATGGCGCAGCTAATTAGTACAGGTTGTATAAAAAAAAGGTTGCTTCAAATAATTTCCTCGTATTGGTAGTTTATTTAATTCAACATATCGATATTTAGCGATGATCGAAGTTACTAATATTAAAAAAACTACAAGGTCCCATCACTATCGGTATAGCATTTTTATCTATTTATATTTATCACCTCGTTTATACTGTACTAGAAAAGCTATTATCGTGTTTTCATTCAACGTGCAAAAACTTTTATGTAACAATTTAAAAAAAGCTAAAAAATCAGATTGGCCATTATTTGATACGTATGATAAACGTAAACCGAGTAAAATTCACCAATCAAATTTATTTCAGATTATGCGATATCATAATTAGAATGATGTAATATGATCATAATATAGCATGATCTGAAATAAATTTGGGTGGTGAATTTTACCTGGTTACGTATAAACGTACGTACGTACGTACGTACTTCTGTACTTGAAATCTGCTATGCCTAAACAATTTATATAGTTATTACTGTATGTATATAGTTGCATAACTACTTTTAAAGGATTAACGAGCTTTGTAGTGGCATGATATTTTATCACGTCATCAGATGATAAATTTCGTCTAAGCCTCCGCAATGAATTACGTATATGATGTCACCTTTTCCCGTGACAATAGACAAGACCATTTGACCAATTCGACTAGACAAATTTGAACCATCAAGTTTATGGCGTTCTCAAACACATCTTTCAATGAATTCCATAAAGAATCAGATTGGCCAGTTTGATCAGAAAGACAATTTGAGGAAAATGCTTGGGAACGCCCTTATTGTATTTTTTTTTTTTTTTTACGTATTAGAATATATCCATAATAATGGCCACATAAGGTAAGGCCAATCAGATTCTTTACCGAATTCATTGAGAAGTGCTTGAGAACGCCCCTGTGACTTAATACCTTACAGCTGTTTCAAAAAGATGTGAACGGTCGCAGATCACTATGTCATAGGGAATTCCCAGATTTCCGGAATTTTCAAGACCCGCTCTAATCGGAAGTTTAATTTTTTACTAATCTAAATTCCAAAATTCTTCGATTTCCCACATAGGTATATGGAAATCGTTGTTCACACATTTTTGAAAACGGCTGTAATATAATTGTACGTCTAGAAAACTTATTCTCAATTTCAAATTACGACATGTCATTACTACGAAATTACATTGGATATTGGAATAAGCTTATGATTATGTTCAATCGTTTAAAGATTTGCCTTATGTTAAATTTAATTTAATAAATTCAACTACAGTACATAACTACTATAACTACATAACTACATATACAATTACATATATAATTACATATATAAAATATTTTAAAAAATTATTACATAAATTAAAAAAAAAAATGAAATGAAAAATGTACATTTGTTATAATAAAAAATTTAAAGGTAATAAATACCAATAAAAAATGTTCTGAATTGATTTATCTTTAATCAAGTGTTTTCATTGCCCAAAATCGATGACTTTTGTCAAATGCTTTATTACTATTCAAGTCTTTCATCGCAATATCAACTAATATATTATAGTCTCCTTCTGAGAATTGTATATTAGAAACAGCTTCTGAAAGGTTCTTAGCACCCCACGTTATAAGTTCTCCATAAGCTTTACCTATGAAATCATAAAAAATTATTATAATTAGTATATAAAGCATTTAAAAGAAAGGTAAAAATTTATATTTACCCAAAACACCACCCCATGAGCCCAAAGGTTCGACCCTCTCGTCTCTTGAAATGTTGGTTAATGATTTATTTGCAGCAAGATAATTAGGCATGTGTGGGCTTATTATAAGGTCAATGCCTTTTTCTGCTTTTAATCCATCAACAACTAGAAAAAAAAAACAAAATCAATTTACCGTGTTTTTTTTTAAAAAAAAAAAAAAAAAAAATTAAATATATAATCAAGAATAAAAAATTTACCCCTTTTCCTCCAAGTTTTTACATCTTCCCCTTCATTGTACCAATAAATATCCCTGGAAAGAATAAATTAAATTAGGAAATAATTATAATAAATTCTTTATATATATATTTTTTCTTATACTCTTTTTATATTAAATTATATAAATAAATTTACCTTTCCATTATTTCAATCCATCCTCCTGGTTTTGTAACCCTAACCATTTCCTAATAATTACAAGCAAAAAGCATTTAATAAAAAATAATGAATCCAAATCTATACGTTTGTGTATATTTATTTACCTTAATGGCAAATGGCCAATCTTTCGTCGTTAGTGCAAACATCATAAATCTCATCTAAAAACGGAGATAAAATTTATTAGATAAAATTATGTAATATGTAATCACAGAAAAGTAACACTTACATATACAAAATCAAATCTATATATTGACATACACATACAGTATATATATAGCAAAGATAGAGAAGGTTAACTTCAAAAACAAAATCTAGTGTATCGAGACAAATAAGATATTTACGTATTATCAGGAAAAGGTAGCCCTTCAATAACATTAGCCTTCACGAATGTGCTATTTCCAGGTTTAATATGAAGAGGATAATTTGCGACAATATCACATCCTGTAAAATGTGACCTTGGATATTTACTGTATTAAATATATATTAAAAAGAAAAAATGAATATAAACAAAGAATATGTTGATCAAATGAATTAAATGATTTGAATAGTAAACTAACCTAGCAAGTTCAAGAATAAGAACTCCTGGACCACATCTAATTTTTATTAATTTTATGCAAATCAGAATAATTGAGCAAGATTCTTAAAAAATTATGAAAAAATTAAGAAACCAGGTCAAATTTCTTATAGGATAATTACCCTATGTCCAACATTTTTGCACCGCGTTCTAACGAACTTTCAATAGGTGAAGAAAAATCACTTTTCCAAAAATTTTGAAAAATATAGTGTTGTAAAATCATTCTATCAATCTCATCATCATCTAAAGGGAGTATATAAGAATCAGAATATTTTCTCTTTGTCATATAATTCTGTATAGTTTGATCTTTTTTAACATCAGGATGTGAAAAACTTCTATCTTTTCTGGGTTGAGATGGTTTAGAGCTAACTTTTCCCATAGTGACTAATTAAATTCCAAGTTATTATTTAATATTATTGTATTTATTATAATTGAAAAGTTTGAACTAGATACGATTTTTCAAACAAGAGCATGTAATTTAAGTGGAGAGAGGGTATCCAAATACACAACCTTCTTATAAGAATTTCAGATATTCATATAAATGCGGATCAACTTTGACGATAACGATTACACAAAATTCGTCATTTGTAAAATTAGTAAAAGAACATAAATACATTTTGATATACATGCTACGTATATACATGCTATATACACATTCTATATACGTACTATATATATATATATTACATACTATATAAAGTATTTTATACGTTACTATATACATACACATTTTATATATATTTAATATAGCTATATATTATAAAATTTCCCAGGAATCATTTAAACTATAATATGATAAAATTAGAGATTCACATGCATAAAATAATATTAATATTACTGCCCCACATTCTTTATCACCAAAATAAGAAGGGAGATCTTTGAAAATAAATCTGGAGGCATGAAAATTAACGGTAAATGATGTCGATAGGAATACTGGAATTTTTTAATCCTAAGACAATGAAGTAATTCGTGAGATTTTCAAAAAAGAAAACAAGCAAATAAATCTGGAAGAGCATGAAAATTAATTGTGAGTAGCATGAATACTGACCTATAATTTATCCTTAAACGATAAGAAACAAATATAAGTGGGTTGTACAATTTTCAAGAAATAAAAAAAGAGTATTCACAGATTAACCTATACTCCAACTAAATGGATGATAAATCTCATGGAATTCGTCCGATGACCAGGGTTTGGGAATTCAGGATAAAATATCTTTTTATATAATATTGTTAACGTTAACATGTGTAAAATTCTTGCAATGATATAATCACATTCAAGTTAAATATAGCACGTGCTGATCATAATTCAAGTTTTAAAATATAGCACGTGCTGATCATAATCATTAAAATCATTAATGGTAATCTTTACCAATCATAATCTTTTTTCACAGTTTAAAAATTTGTAGTAATACGAAATCGAAAATAGTTTAATTAAAAGGTTGGCAACTAATCAATTTAAACATTCAAAGCATCAAATAATTTGAATGATTGTTAACATAACGATAATTTACATCATTTCAGATATTTATAAAGAGTTGATCCAACTAATGTTAATCGATCTATTAGAAAATCTTTGCCGATTTGAATCACCAATTTGAAGTTTAACTGATGGATAAAAATACTAACCGTTAGTTTCTAGAGAAAATCATTCATAAGCGTTTAATAAAATAATATATAATTTTACATCTTGGGGTTATGTTCTAAAGATAGCGAGTGAATTCTTGATTTTTATCATGCGTAAAAAGGTTACTATCTTATTGCTGAATGTTTATTTCCATTAAAAGACTAAAAGGAACTCTAAATTATGTGATTGAACGTTTTGTCACAACATCTTTCATTCCTTTTGTGATTCCCTTCAAATCAACGGCAAGTTCTTGTGAAGTAATACCAATGAAATTCTTTATATATTAATTTATAAAATAATAAATGAAAAAGGATAAATTAAATTATATTAGATAAATAAAAAATAATATAGGCTTGTAACTTTGACAGGTGATTTCAACAATGAATGGGTTTATGATTTTTTAATATGTAATGGATGATTATCAAGAATTTTATTAGTAAATTCACTATCGAGAGAATTTTATTTAGAATACCTTGTGCTTAACTTCATTATATCAAATTTTAATTAGTCCTCACTATATATATAAAAATGACTACGTCTCTTATTGCTGAAATCATGCTCTTTTGTCTTGTTCTTGGTGATGCAGTTGAAAATGCATTCGTAATCGATATCAAAGAAGATTGGAAGGACTATTTCGCATCTAAAAAAGTTAATTAAAGAGGAGAAAAAAAATACTTTTCAAAATGTTGATGCTAATGACCTCGTACTCTGGAAAAATTGCTGGTATTTCTATCAGCAAAGAAAGCATAAAAATGAAAATACGTACCGATATCAATATAGAAAAAGAACTTGGGTACAATGTTATTCCCATCTGACATTATAAGACAATATTTTCACAATTTAGATAGCAAAGACATTCAAATCATAATACTGCCACCTACCTAGAGTTCCAAGTTGGTAAAATTTTGCCAATCGATTAGTTGCCAACTAAAGTTGGCAACTAATCGATTATGATAATC